AAAGAAAGCATTGCTGTATTCATATTTTAGAATTTTATTTTTTCAAGTTTAGAGTGATTTTTCAGATCATGGCTACAAGTGCACAACAATTAGCTGTTTATACAAATATTGATTGGTGGTCATTTAGGAGGGAAATTACAGCGAAAAATGCAATTCAGTTCATATAAAAAAATGCTGAATGCTTTGATGTTGATCATAAGGTCGATGAAGCATGGAAATGGAAAACTCTGTTATTGGACCTTTGTATTTAAAAAATTACAGAAAACATTGGTTATTAAAATTAGACAAGCTTATATTTCTCTTTCACAACCTTTCATTTGTGTCATATTAAACACTCCATCTTCCCAGATTAGGGTTAATTAGGAGAATTTTTTTAACAGAATTCTTCTTGATTATGAGAGACAGAATCTGCAGTCTGTTTAGCTTACAGTGGTTTGCATTGAATTATTTAAAAACAAATGCTGGTGGCATACAGTTTTAGATGAACACTGAACAGTGGTCAGTGATATCAAAACGAAAGCATGTAAAACTAATATCTTAAGAAACAAAATCTTTACAGGTGAAACTGCTTAAAAATCTTGATGTGTGCTCCCACTTTACAAAACTGCGGCTTTTTAAGAGACTTTACTGGCTCAGTTGTCAGGTGACGAAAATAACTGTTCTTCTGAAAATGTGAAATGAAACAGTAGATGTGGAAAATGTGTGCCTTTATAAGCAATACCACCTTTTAATCTCTATATGATCAGTCTTCCTTCCTCTTCTGCGATTTTCTACAACAGCGTCTCCAGCAAAGTGCACAGCATTTAAATGTTGCTAGAGTTACAATCAGCGCAATAAAAAGCAGGAAGCCAATCACATCTAGACTGTGGTATTGAAGCCAGTTCAGGTCATGAGCAGCAGGTCTCAGGTGGTCTGCCCCTTTGTGTCTCATAACAAACTCTGTCCAGTAGACCGCAAGATCCAGGGGCTGCATGGGACGGTCATTGTGTATGGCCGACAGCTTCTCCATTCTTTGCTTACAGCTGCAGAACACGGCAAAAGAAATGCATTGAGGTTATGAAAGAGTGTATGCATGTATATAAAATATATGTATATATGAGAGCAACAGTGGGAGAAATGTTAAAACTCTCACCTGCTGTCATTAATAACTGTGTTGAGAGCATCGACCAGCGTTTCTGCAGTGATATCATGGATGCTGAGCACCACTCCCACCCCT